TGACTATGGACGCTTAAAATGACTACGTAAAAGTTCCCAACATTCTGCTCTGCATATAATTTTTTTCTGACTGGATGATATTCTTTATTCAGTGATTAATTTGTTTGCTTGAAACCAATGCACATCATTATTTGAAAAGATTATATAGATATCAATCAAATCAAATAAAAATTAAAAAAACCAAATCAATTACTGATAACAATTATAGAAGTTTGACAAAATGAACAAAATAGCCTTATTTCAGGTTTATCAAGCAATGCTGGGGGAACTCACTAAAGAGTGGACACCTACATGTACACGCATTTAGAAGTTGTCTATTTTAATTCAGAAGTTTTTATCTTTTATTCTTGTTTTTGACACAGGTAAGCAAACAGTGACCTGTTCCCTCTGAAGTACAAAATTATAAAGTACAAGTGGAGTAAAAGAAAAGATTCAACATTTGAAGTGTAGCGATAAGAGAAATGGCTGTGAGTCAGCCATTGTTCTCGAATGGGTATATAGAAGATAAGAGTTGCTTATTTGAGATGATTGGTAAAGCGAAAAAAGCAGTACTATTGTCGCATGTCTATGACATTAAAGGGAGTATTGAATTCGGGTGATGACGGACGCGAGTTGGTCTTAGTCTGCAAGCACAAACCCTGGTCAGTCGTAAAATGAGTCTGCACTATAAGACTACCATAGACCATGTACTGTAGCTGCTCCTGACACAACCAGTAGGTAGCTGGGCTAGACTTCTCTCAAGGCAAAATGATTTTTTTGATTAAGTGTCAAATTAGGGTCTGTGCCTGTAGACTAAGTTGGTCTATAGTGGTTGGCCCTTAAGTCTGACATGAGGGTATGTGCCCCCGGTAAAACCTCAACCCACTAAAACACATATCTCAAACACACTAATTATTTTTTAAAGTTCATGTGCACCCCTAACAAATTATGATCTTTGAATGTTTATGCACATAATAGGAAAATTTCAAATATTTCTCGTCTATAACAGTGGCATTCCACGTTTAACCTGTTTTATAAGTTCAAGCTTTTTTTCAGCCTCCCCCCCCCCCCCCCGTTTCTCTCTATTCTCAATGGCAGATAATTACCATCTTATATTTCGTAAAATAACTTCATTCATCTTTTAACAGTCAGTAACTTAAGAATTGTGCTTATTTTAAGATAACATTCGGTTTCCGCAATTTGTTTTGGGCAACAGATGTTGCATTATCGGATAGTTCACGGATTTGCAGGGTCTAATTTTGTAGATTCAGTAGGCCTATACAGATTACAGGTGGATTGTTGCATTCTTGTTGGAGATTGATAAAGATTTCGTCCTTGGCAGCCTCAATAAGGTGTTATTCATCGAATAATTTGATTAGAGATGAAAGAGGGTTTGGAAGAAAGGGGACAAAAAGGTTCAGAGCTACGAGCACCGAAACTGTCTATTTCTTCTGATGAGGACCAGAACGAAGTGTTGATCATTCTCATAACGTTCGAGTTAATTCAATTGACCTAAATCAAGTAACAAAATAATTTAAATCAAATCAAATCAATTCAAACATGTAGGAACGTAAAGAAGGTAAACCATAGGTCAGATAGTTCACTTGTTGCCAATTAAAAAGATATTACTTTTGCTGTCCTCATAAAAACACTTTGACAACCCAATAAGTCACGTACTTTATCACATAATAAATCATGTTTTGAAACTGTCTACTGATTTTGAAGACATAATATTTACGCAGATATTTATTAAGAGTTACCGCAGGGGCAGGGTAAATATGACAATGAACTGTCAATATAATTTTATATCATTTTCAAACATACCAATTACCTGTGTAATGCATGCGTTGAGTGCACGTGTATTATTTTGATTTCCTTATTAAAACGTTTTGGCAATTTGCTTCTTTCCTCTATTTGTTCCCTTCTCCTTCCCTACCAAGTTTTGAGAACATAATATCAAACATTTGGGGGAAAGGGAGAGAATGTTTGATGCAGTAGAGTGATTGGGGAGGGGCCCCCGGGGGGGGGGGGGGGGGGAGGGGTATGTGATAGGGTTCATGCGGCCCTCTTTCAGCCCCATATCATTTTCAATCATTTTGTTTGATGTATCTATTCACGCATTTTTTTATTCAAATAAACAACGTGACAAACAGTAACTGACGAAAAAGGGGTATAACGAGCAAAGGAATTAATAGTGACAGATTAATGTCATTGTTTTCTTATGATAACTCATTGAAAATTAGCAAAACATCAACGTGCACGACACGCATGGTAATACATGTGACGGAGGCATTACAGCTTGCAAATTTCCTAACCATTTTGGAAACGGAAAGTGTGACAATAACATACTGGTAGCTGTGATACAACCTACACTCATTGTCTCTAAGCATACAAGTTACAAATAAAACAAAAACACAAAAACGAATCATTGAAGCCGTAGAAAGCTTATATATATATCTATAGAACCCAACCGCAATGTAATTTGAAGACGATCGGAAAGACCTTCGAGGAAATCAACTGTAAACCAGATTGTATTGCATAGAGAAGCAGTGTTGGGATTACGTGATATAGATTGTCATGTTTTTAGATTGATATTTTTGTTTGTTGAAATTGTTTTCGATCGTGTATGAATACAGTTTTTGAGATCAAAGGTCACCTTTTTTGTGTGGAAATTAAAAATGAAAGCAGAATTTAATCATCCCACATACATCTTCATGACTTTATAATGAATTATTAGAAAAAAGAAAGTAAAACTCGTGATTCAAGGAAGGAAACCGTGATGATATCGACCAAAGCATTCATACTTATGATAGTTGGCCTCTGCATTATCTTTACTCTTTGATTATATATATGCATTTTGTGTGTATTCAAGTTGTCCTTTTTTATGTAAATCAATTATAGTATACCATTATTGTTATTTGAATATTTTGTGTTTGATTTTTCAATAATTGCACAAAACATCTGCGTTTAAAAAAAAATCAATATATATAACACATGCTATGATAATTTAATTCATTCTAATCCAACTGCATCATGTTAATTTGATTTTAATTTAACGCAATTGAAATCCTATACATGTACCTCTGGTCGTGCATAAAATCAAGTGTTATCACATCAAAGATGAATCCACCCTCAATTTTGTTTCGAATTAAAATGAAGATTAGATTACATTTATTTTGGTAATTTGTTTGATTCTATTACTGAAAGCATCCTTGCAACAAAAGTCAAAATTGTACCTAGCTTTATTTACCATGTTTACGCATACAGTACTGAAAGGGTTGGTATTATAGTTTCGATAAGAATAAACTTTATTCTATTGTAGTAGAGTTACAGTCTTAACAAAGGACACATAAACTGTTATTTCTTTATGCCATATGGCTGCGCGAGGACAAAACTCTAGTTCTCAGCGCCTTTTCCTCAAGGTTAGCTCCTTATGATTGCTCGTAAAAAGAATAATCATGAAAAGAAATCGTTTGAAAGAGCCATTAAGGAAAGATGTAATGGCGTTATGATTTCAAGCTCACCGCCTGCACCCACCCCCAAAGCAGCTGATTTCTCATGAAACAACAGTAAATGGTCCAAATAACATAGTAGTGCTCACAATGTTTAGTGGGCGCTTTCGTAAATTTCTAGGATTCTGGGTTGTTTTTCTTTATAATTAAAAAAAGATAGATAACTACAGGACGAAACAGAATATTAGGAAGATCGATGAGGCACAGAATGGCGTAAAACAAAAGGAACATAATTAGATTGACAGTGACATCTTATGATTGAATGTGTGATAAGGGCTTACATGTTATTCATAATTATGTCTATAGAGAAACACTCATGATAGAGATTTCATTTAATTCGAACTCATGTAGTAAATGTGCACAATATAATTGTTTACAAAATTGTGTAAGTTAATCGAATAGAATATGGTTGGCTGATCACAATTTCCCAAGACCATCATCTTCTATGATTAAAAGAAAGAAAGAAGAAGACTGTTCCGTGAATTCAAATATGTCCCTTAGTTTAAAGCCACACTGTCCTACTTGTAGCTACTTGCCCCTCTATACCGTATAAAACAATGCCTAATCGGTGACCATTGGTCCCCCATGATACTCTTTTTCTTATGTTAATTGAGAGCTGAGTTGATGAGATAACCACCTGTCCAGTGACCTTGCAGTGTGGTTTAATTCCTCCTGTAAACTAGTACAGAGAAGCTTTAAGGAAGTATATTTCTACAGAATATATTGTATTGAGAAATACTCTGTTAGTTACAGAAAGTCTAGTTGGTATTGGTACAGCATACAATCGCCATTGTGTGTAGCAGTGACCAGTCGTATAATGTAGCTTCTTTCCAATGCAAACATGCTAGGTCCAAAGGTCATTTTTGTTGTGTGGAAAATAAAAATGAAAGCAGAAAAAGCATTCGGGGGGGGGGGGCGGTCTGGTTTATTCCAGTGATTTCATGTTCATCTAGATATAATAACAATATGATGATTGATAAACAAAGGCAAAACCTCGTGACTCAAGAATAATGGAACAGGAAAAATAAGTATCATCACGTTACACATTTTAAAGAGTACTCCACCAGCAAATATAACCATACAGCCCTACTTGAGTTTGTAGTGCAATGCCAAAGTCAGGTGCTATAATAATGAAGTAAAGATGAGGGTTGTTTTTTAGTTGTATTTGTTCATTCTTTAATTTATTTTTGTCGTGTGCGTGCACTGCAGCTAGGTATGGTTTACCATTGCATGGTTGCCCGCACATTTCCCACTGTTATCGAAAAACACTTTAAGCAGCTTAAACTACGTCGAGAAAAACGTCAACAAACCTGGCCGTGAACAGTTTCTTCGCATTTTCAGCTTGACATAAACCCTTAGCGACAAGGGAAAGAAGCCCTTTAATTTTAGGCAGCCTGGATCGCTCGTGTGCTTGCGAGCCTGTGATTGGCTGGATGAGCGCGCGTGACCCCAAACGTCATAATAACCCTGATTAGTTATGCGCGATTGTGCCCGTGCTTGTAGGCGTTGACAATAGTCGAAACAGCTGATGGGCCCCAGCTGATCGTTCAGTATTGCGATATACACACACAATCGTGCATGCAGCAGCGAAGTGCTGAACCAACCGTGAAGTTCGGCGCTCGCTCGCCATCAACAACCTACCTTTTCTTTGTTGCACCAGTAGAAATATTGATGTCTGGATTTTATATCTAAACGTCTTCTCATTTTACCGAGCAGAACCCAAACCTATGAGATCTCTTTGTGGAATAAGTGCCGATGTTTTCTAAGAGTTATAGCAGTTGATTAATCATTTTTGTCGCGGACGAGCAACAAATCAAGTCAAAATGTGTTGCTTTTTCAAGAATTCGTGGGGCTGGTTGGTGACTTTTGCAACCTTCCTCCTCATAATGCCCGTTACGGGTATCCTGAGCAGTTTTGGAGTCATCTTTGTGAAATTACAGCTCGAATATGATATATCCGATTTTGCATTAGGTAAGTGATATTAGAGACCAGTCGCCACATCTTATTATTTTATGTTTATAACTGTATATTGCATTGGCAATATTTAGGCTATAGATTCTAGACTTATTTTAATAGCTCTATATACATGATATAGTCATGCCATGATAAACACAATGTATAGTACTGGTTTTGAATGACGGCACAAGTAGGAAAACATAACATCTCCGCAGCAATGGCTATTTATCATGTCGTTGAATTTTCTTTTGTAAACCTGCATTGATCTTGACACGCTCTATTCGTTGTCGCAATATTCGCGATTTCATCATCTCTGAGTGAGGGCTAGCACACAGGTTATGCATGGTGCACAATACCACTGTGCGCATGTGCTGCAGCGAGGCCGAGCATTTCAATACGAAATGAAAACCGACTGCATCCCGCAGGGCATGATATTATTACATTGTCAATTTATTATTCACGAGATGATTTTACCTGGATGAATCGGACATAATGACAATCAGACAGCTTTGGGATATACTTTTATAATGATATGTATGGGTATGGTTCTGATGGTGATTGTTGTGGTGGTGGTGGGGGTGATGGAGATGATTTTGATGAAGATGATGAGAAGGAAGATGAAGATTGTTAATGATGGCGATGTTGATGATGATGATGATGGTCAGGTGGGGGTGGTGGTGGTGGTGGTGGTGGTAGATGGATAGTTGTGGTAACGACGACGATGATGATAGTGGTAGGTATGGTAGAGATGGAGAGAGATAATGGATGAGGCAGATGGGAGGAGAAGCAATGTGATCACCGTCTTGTTGTTTGGTCATGTCTGATTCTAGGTGATGGACTTGAAATGGGCAAACCACAAATAAAGGGCCTAAATATTGTGCATTAAAAGTCAAAACCTCACCGGGTTACAACACGATATTATTTCTAACTATACATTCAGTACATTGAGAATGCTAAGAGGCATTATCTTTATTTCTTTTCATCCATTTTGATGTTCAAGGTCAAATCTCCCGTCAGTCTGACATTATGTTTTTAAAGTGCACGAGACGTTGAAACCAAGCAAACGCATTATCAAACGATGTCTCGAATATATTATTGCAGTCAGGTCCTGAACTTAATAATTGCTGCTGTTTGTATATTCAAGTGCCACGCGGAGAATCTATTCAAACGAAACATTTTCAATTTCACTGATTTGAAACAAACTTTATAAAATGATTACTTTCATTTTGTGACAGACTCTGTGATGACTACTCGTTCTTCAGACTTCAAACCGTTAATCCCGGCACCTTCTATACCCCTATTTATAGTGAAAACAAACACAATTTCGTAGATTATGACTTTTGCTAATCCGACAGACAAATATTCGCCAATCCTTATCTCACAATCATCGTCACGTGAAGATTATCACTGCCCTTAAACGAGACACAGTGGATTAAGATTCCAGGGGGCAATCCACTTTGATAAGACAAACCCCTTTGATGGACATGACGTTTTACAGGATCCATTATGCTCATATATGCTAGTATTAAATAAAATCAAATTTCACAGCCATATTCAACCAATGTGAATTACATGAACACCTGTCGCCTTCGCGGAAGACCGCAAATCGATTGGTGGAATTAAATTTAACAAAAAACACACCTTACACCACAGGAAGTGGTATTTCCAAGATTTGCGCAAATATGGCTTCGAATAACATCGTTACTTGTTGGAAATTCAACAAAAGAATGTTAAACTTGTATCTCTGTAAGTGCCTTATGACACAATCATAACTAAGAGACAATATAATGAAATTTGATATTTATTATTTAGGCCATAAGATGACAAAATGTGTAATGCCTTTTAATTTGTTTTGGCAATCATCTGTTTAATTAATGAAATGAACAAGGCAGAATACCACTAACTCAGAAATGTACTGAAATTCTTTACAATAAACGCGATATTCCTTTTGTTCCCAACTATCAAGTGCATCAATACTATTTTTTAACACGTTTATAGATTGTTAGTTCCCTATCGAGGATTTAGTTGGCTTTTTAAATGACGTTTTGCAAGTTTGCTTCATCTTTCACTCCGATTTTCTTACCCCAACCCCCCTCCACCCCTCCACGCCCTCCTTATCCCCTTTCATGTTCATCCAAGGAAAGCAACGGTCCTTTAACCATTGTCATTGGCTTCGATGAAAGCAATTATCCGCGTTGTTCAGATAGGCCTTTTGTTCCACACCTTTTAAAAAGAGTATATTGCCGCTTTACAGAGGCTATCCCAAAATAAAATCGCACGGGGGTAATACTATTCTTATGCACAAGAGAGCTCCTCATCATAAAAAGAAAGCCGTTGTGAATTATCCTAAAAGAAGTGGGTTTACTATTGTCAGGGGCGCGGTGCGATCTGACTGGCGACTCCGAGCTCAATTCCTAAAGCCAAAGATATTTTGCTTCTGACTGAATTGGTCCTGAAAAGTCAGATTGACATCATTACACCTATTGTACCTAGTGTATACTCTCTTCTATATACACCTACAAGTGTACCGTCTTTTTTATACAGCAGTGCAAACTCACTATTCACAGAATACAGTTGAATGAAAGCTTCAGAGTATTTTGAAAATAATAAGGACTTACCTGAAAGGTGTATTGTGCGGCAAAAGAAATTCCAGAAAGCTGTAAAGAATTAGTACTTTAAAGATTGACATTTTAAAGGGAAATCATAAGAAGAAAAAAAAAGTACCAAACGGCATAGCATAATTTACAAAATGTTGCACATTAAATTCTGAAAACTAATTATTCATTTATTTTTTTGTTTAAATTTTAAATTCGGGATTTAGCATTTAGAAATCAAACAAGGTATTAACGGACTAATCAAAGTCTAAATGCAATTTTTTTAATATGAAAAGGTGTCTTGTTTCTGAGTCGTTATACTTCATTCCTTATCCATGTATTGTGCCAGTATTACTTTACCCTGTAAAATAGATTTGATAATAATTATACAGGTATCGAAATGCGTTCCTGCAATTCCATCACGCATTTTTACTTCATTAATCTAACCAATATAGTAGAAAAATATCAAAATTCAACTTGGGTCAATAGAGCAAAATTGTATTGGGATCGCTAACCGGTAATAGAGGTGCTAAATTAGCCACCGCAAAGAGATAAGGTTTTACGAAAGTTGCGAAATTTCTACTTTATCATGTGACATCCGTATCATCATTCTGACCAAAGTAGATAAGGCTAGGTTGAGCAATATGTACTTTGTCGAAAAGAAAAATTCATCACACAGGCAACATTCACTCTAAACTTTTGTCAAAGTTAAACCAAGAAAAGAACCTTTGCAACCTTTGCAAAAAATATATATTAGTATGGCACATTAAGAAATATAATGACTAAAATAATAAACAGTTTGAAGCAAATGGAATTCTAAATACTTTATAGCTTTTAAGTAGGCATATTCATTCATATTAATTATAGGGTCTGCGAAGTTCCTTTACGTAATATATTACAAAAAACAATAATTACGCAAACAATATAAAAGACGTCCCTTTTGGAACGTGCCTAGACATTTTAATGTGATCTTTCTTCCTTTCTGCAGAGTCATCTTACTTTAACTAGGGTAAATCATTTATAAACATGTTATGATACTGGTATTGTCTTGTAACCTTACTCTCTTTCAACCGTCATTGTCCGATTAAAATGAGGTTAGGCTACTATTCAGACAGAAGGATTTCCCACTCCCTCAATGATCTCATGATTCTTGCGAAACGATTGTATTTCGTTAAAGATATAGGGTTAGCGTTATAGTAGGATTGTGGTATGGTTTTAGGTTTTAGCCAAGGGTTAGGGTTACATAATGTAGGTATAGTATTGAGTCCAGTGTTTAAGTTAGGAATTCGGCTCGGGATCATTACCATTAGAAAATATGTCGTATAAGTATATATTACACGCAGTACAAAAGGAGTCATTACAAATACATGAAGACAAATTAAATATAGATAAATAAAGACATATGTATTTTTTTTTAAATTCATCAAAATAAGAAGAAGATGCATCAAGAACGGGGATTTTGAACTACTCTTTGAAGCCAGACTACTATGGAGTTGTGAGTGAAATGCTCAGGGAAATGGGTTGAGATCCGATTACTTTCATTTTCTTCGTCGATTGTTGTATACGGAACAAACAGGAAGGCCTATATATTACCACCTTTCCTTATACCCTCATCCATTCATGTCTCTTATGACGGTAACTTAAACCGAATTACACTTGTGTACTAAAGTCCACACCGTCTTGCTTTCGAAAAGTTTGAAATCAAACCCATTATTTGTTGGATCAATTTATTCCGCTTTGGGGCCGTCTTACTTAATTCGTTTTTTCTATATCGTAGTCCGAGCTCCGAAATAAAAGATTCAAGGGAGATCTCCCTCGAAAATTCGAACCCATAATACATTTAGTTAGTTGCATGTGAGACACACGCATATGCTGTTTATCGAATATTTCTTTCACGTGCTCTAAGATTGTTTAATACCACGAAAATACGTTCCTCCTCCATTGTTCCGACTCGTTAATGACTGTCATTAGCCCGTAGAGAGGGGGTAGAATAAATGGTCCAAAGTATAAGAACACCCGAGGAGATTGCCTATTTGTTCACAGGCAATCAATTTTCCATCTTTCTATTGTACTTATTGTATCCGAAAAATGAGGTTATCGAATTCTTATCTATAATGGGTAACATTTCCAGATAAGTCATCATCTTATTCTTAAACAAACTTGTACACGTGATCAGATGAGAAACAATGGGAAGAAAGAAAATGTATAGGCTCTGCTTAGATAAAGATCATTGTTACACGATGTAAGTGTTTATAAATGGCTCCTTGATTGCTGCGATTGTGTTAGGATATTTATTCTATAATATTTACTTTCATCCATGTATTCATCAATCCATTCATTCATTCAATCTGTCATTCATTCATCAATCCTTTAATGTTTTCATCAATTCATTCATTTATTTATCCATTCATTTTATTCATC